GTACGTACTCTCCTCCTCTCTCTCTCTCTCTCTCTCTCTCTCTCTCACGCAAAACCGTGAGAACAATTTTCACAACGCGTGTCGATCGATCGTGAACAAAACGCGCGTGTTCCTTCTTCTTCTCTCGACAGCGTGTCCGGGCAATGTGTTTCTCATGGAGGGGGAAGGTAACATGATCCTCGTTTCAGACTATGCTAAGGATCTCGTTTGTGTACAAAAGTGTATCGTGACTAACTGGGCTGGATGGAAAGCTCCAGGCTTCGTTTTCGAACAATTTCAGTTTTCGCGTCGAGTGAAAAATTCAATCGTGGAGAAGGATAAACTTGCGACTCACCTTGATCGTATGTGTCAGAACAGGCCCCGCAATCGCTTGGATAAGTTAATTAATCGCAAAGTGGAAGTATTCTAACCGTAGCGCGTTTCTAGAATTATATATAAGCGTTCACACTCTGTTGTACGATCCTCTTCTCTCTCTCTCTCTCTCTCTTCTTTCCTTTCTTCTTAACAGCTATCGTTCATTACTTTTTATTTTATTTTTATTATTTTTACTGTTGTTGTTGTTGTTATTCTCTTTGTCCTTAGCTTGTTGTTGCCTGATCTGTTGTTGGCTCTCTTCTCTATTACTTTTATATCGGTGTGTGTGTGTGTGTGTTGTTATTATATATTTATTTGTTTATATAATATATATATATATATATCATATAAATATTATTCTTATAAATATATCTGTGTCTGCAGGTACTTCGCTGTCCTGGTTCGTATTAATCGATTATAAAGGGCTCGAAGGGGGAGAGGTATCGTTATTTCGTTCAACGAGAATTCCTGATAAGATCTATCTCTTGACGCGGCGGCGGACCAAATCTTGGAAAACGAAATCTTCCCTCTCGTTGTCCTTCAACGTTTTTCAACGTTCTTTCGTACAACAACGACTTCGTTCGTTCGTTCGTTCGTTCGTTCGTTTGTTCGATCTCGAATCGAGGAGATTATCCTTCCGACCAACCGCGGCTCTCTCTCTTGCATACGCTCACGTCCGTATACATACGGCCACGGGGACCTTTTATGCGTGTATATGTGTGTATGCACAACGTGTATATGTATGTAAAAGGGGTGTGACTTTCCAAACACAAAGTGACGATTAAAACGTTAAAACTCTCTTCTCTTCCTTTCCTCTTCTATTTAAAATTTTCTCCCACGCTCTCTCTCTCTCTCTCTCTCTGATTCTTTTTATCTCTGTATAGATATATATATATATATAATATTATATATATATATATATAACGTTGCTATTGTTATTAATATTATTATTTTGTATTATTATTATTATTATTATTACTATTATTATTATTATTAATATTATTAATATTATTATTATTATTATTTTGTATTATTATTTGTAGTCGCGTTCTTCGGAGGGGCCTAGGCACTATTACGCTGCGAAAAAGAGGTTTTAAGTTTGAAGGTACTTGTACGCACGAGGTATATGTTCTCAAGGTAGAAGTTATTATTATAATTATTATAATTATTATTATTATTATTATTATTATTATTATTATTATTAATATTGTTAATTTTTTTTCCCAATCTAGGAGCGATACAGCGATAACAGCGCTGCAAGGAGAAGAATGGCTTGTCTTGTGTGTGCTCGTCCGACCAAACTCTGGCCAAAGGGAAGGGATTGCTAACTTCTCAAGGTTCTCCCGCTTTTTCCAACCCCTTCCCACTCGTTCGATCTCTCTCTCCCTCCACCGTTGCCAATTTATATTCCGTCTCGAAACCACGTGTGTGTTCGTTCTCTCTCTCTCTCTCTCTCTCCACCCTTCGTCTTCCTTCGTCTTCGTCCCGCCGTTCCTCCTCCTTCGTTTTCGTCTTCTTCCTCTTCTCCTTCTTTTTTCGCTTTTTCCTCCTCGTTTTCTTCCGAATGGTGAGCCTTTTCGCTTGACAATCGACGGCGGCGCCCTCTACGCCGCGGTACGCACTCTCACGGAAGGTCAGAAGTCGTTATCACCTCCTCGAGTTTTCCCACTTGCTAGCCACATCGCCCTGGGCCCTGCACCCGCCCTCCTCCACCGGCTGCTCAACCACCACCACCACCACCATCTGGAACAAAGAAGAAAGAACGGGAGTCATTTTAGGGACGTTATCGTTCTCGGATTGTTGCACGTTAGTGGATTTAGGTTAGGTTATGTACGACACGCTCACTTTCTGTAACGTTTCAAGGATCGATCTATCTTTCGTATTATAAATTATACGTGGAAAACATTTTCCATTGTGATGATGAAGTTTCGATTTAAGAGTAAAGAGAATTCGATTTCGAGGTTAAGTCCCTCCATCGATGTAGCGTACTTGGTCGTTTTAACGCAACTGATTCGAATGGAATTATAGTACATTTTCGATCATCGAGCAATTTGAACGAGAGTGGAGGCTGCTTATGAAGAAAACGCATAGATTTCTACTATGTAATTTCGACAGAATCGTGACAGAAACGTGGACTTTGAAGTTTCTTGAAGGAAAAGAAGAAAAAGTGCAAAGGAACGTAATATCTCTCGAAACGGGTGTTCGCCAGAGGATCGCGAAGAACGTTGCTCTTAAAATGCATGCGCATTTCTCTTAGAAGTCGGAAAATTAATTTTCACGGAATACGCGGGCAAAGTGGAACGCGTCTGTAAACGATCCTGACAAATCCGTCGCGAATTTGATTAATTTAATACGATTTGATCACCTGTTGAAACGTTTTTGTAAGATAAAAGAATATCGTGGAAAAAAAAAAAGAAAGAAACAGCTTTGACAGCTCCTATGTGAAATTTAAATTTAAACGTTCGAGTCATCAAGAATATTCATTCACGTGTAAAGAAAAATTCAATTATCGTGATCACCGATCGTTCGATGTCGATCCTTTAATAACATTTTTCAAAGTGAAAATATACGTGAAAAAAAAAAAAAAATTGAATGCTTCTTTTTTTCCTCGCCGTTCAATGGATCCGTATCATTAATTAAACGTCTGCTTGATAATCACGATATAAAAAAAAAAATCAAGCGGTTAAATTTTGGTTCTTATTCTCGCCCCCTGTAACACGTTCCAATAATCACCATAATATATAATTTGCGCGTACGACCTGTTATTACACAAGAATAAATTGGTTTTCGGTAAATTTAAGCGAGTTAATCCCCTAATTATATCTCTTCCCGTCATTCTTGCAAAGGGATAAAAAGAAAAGATCTTCATCCTCTCCTCCCCGAGAAAGGAAGGGAAAAAATTCACCCGGACTGGGAAAATCGTCGACGTCGATCTCGGGGGGTAATAATAATAACAATAACAATAATCGTGTTCGAGGGCAGCAGTGTAGTTAGAAGCGTCCAGCGTCCGCCAGCCAGCCCATAAATAGAAGGGTAAATACCCTATAAATCAGCGGTTGTGGCCTCGATCGAGCGGGCAAAAGGGAAAAGCGGGGCTCGGTTTTCGTGCTCGACGGCCCTGAACGCGTCAGAGGAAAGCGGGTATAGACGGGGGCACGGCGTGCAACCGAGGGTTTCACGGTATTTTTAATTTCACCCTCTGCGATGGTCGTGCGAGGCGCTCGTGCGCGCGCATCTCCTCCACGGCCGCCGTCGTAACACCGCGTTGTTTGTGCGTGGCTACTTCACCGTGGCGGGGAAGGAGGTGGGACAAAGAAGAGAGGCCGACGCATCGACCTCTTACGCATGCGAACACACCGTGCGGAGAGACAGACAATGCACCTCTTCCCTCGACCTACGTCAATGCGAGATTAAACTGGCACAGTGGCGACCCCTGCGCCTCTTCGATCTCTGTGCCCAAACTCGGGGACTCTGTTGAATACTCGTGCATAGTCGGGGACTACGTAATCCGCCTATTTTAACATCCAGCAATTATAATTGATATATTAGGAGGAAGGGGGATACGTTCTGGGATCAAAGATTTGGACAGGTCCGATTCATAGGTTGGTGAGATAAGAAATTATTCGTTTATTTTTAAATTAGGGATACTTGGATACTTGTATAGATTATTTCAAAACGTTACAGTCAGATATATAAGATTTGGATAAAAAGTTGGATCCAGATGTAAAATTATAGAAACGAAGATTGGATATTACATTGGAGAAGATTTGGATAGAAGGTTGGATCCATATGTTTTGGAATCAAAGATTTGGACAGATTCAATTCATGGTCTGGTAAGATAAGAAATTATTCGTTTATTTTTAAATAACCGCATGAAAGTTAGGAATACTTGGATACTACTGTATGGATTATTTCAAAACGTTACAATAGATACATAAGATTTGGATAAAAGGTCTAAAATTATAAAGTTATAGAAACGAAGAGTGAATACCACATTGGATAAGATTTGGATAGAAAATTGGACCCAAGTCCAAAATTATAAAAACGAAGACTCGATATTGTATTGGATAAGATTTGGATAAGGTTGGATCTAAGTTTGAAATTATAGAAACGAAGACTCGATACTATATTGGATAAGATTTGGATAAAAGATGGATCCAGGTCCAAAATTATAGAAACGAAGACTGGATACTACATTGGATAAAATTTGGATAAAAGATGGATCCAAGTCCAAAATTATAGAAACAAAAATTGTATACTTTGGATAAGATTTGGATAGAAGGTTGGATCCAGGTCCAAAATTATAGAAACGAAGACTGGATACTTTGGATAAGATTTGGATTGATAGAAGATTGGATCCAGGTCCAAAATTATAGAAACGAAGACTGGATATTACATTGGATAAGATTTGGATAAGGTTGGATCCAGGTCCAAAATTATAGAAACGAAGATACTGGATATTACATTGGATAAGATTTGGATAGAAGGTTGGATCCAGGTCCAAAATTATAGAAACGAAGACTGGATACTATATTGGATAAGATTTGGATTGATAGAAGATTGGATCCAGGTCCAAAATTATAGAAACGAAGACTGGATATTACATTCGATAAGATTTGGATAAGGTTGGATCTAAGTTTGAAATTATAGAAACAAAGATACTGGATACTTTCGATAAGATTTGGATAGAAGGTTGGATCCAGGTCCAAAATTATAGAAACAAAGACTGGATATTACATTGGATTTATTATTTTAAAAGTATCTACAAAGATATTATGGGGAATTTTAGAGAAGCGCACTCTTGAACTTAACCTTTGCATTTATATGTCACCATCCTACATTTTATTATTATACGTATATTTACAATAAATATATTTATAATATAATTACATTCTAGAGACTTTTGCTACTTGATTGCTACTTCCTAAATATAAATACTAGTGCAAAGAATTAAATTTTCGAGAAGAGTCGCGAGAGTTTCTCGGACGGTTAGCCGAAGAAAAAGTTACACAGGAATACGTTTCGCCAGAAATTCGCCTATTTCGACCTACGAGTGTTTCTTCCTCAACCCTCCCGCGCATTCCAGATCGAATCTCGACGAATCTACGGCGGAGGATGAATCTTGGGGATAAGCGACCTTTTTAAAATTATTGCGAAAGATAGAGATCGCGGAGATCTCGACTATAAAAGCGAGCGACGGACAGCCGAATATCGACGATGGCAATCCACACACAATGGCCGGATAAATTACGAAACGTTTATCAAAGATCGCGAGATGAGATCTAGAATTTTAAAAGAAAAAAAAAAAAAATAAGAAGAACGTTCGACGAGTCGTTTTTCTTCGCCATTATCTCTCTTCAAAAGAGAATCCTTTTCAATCCTTTTCTTTCTTTAAAAAAAGAACAGCTTTATATTACTGCATCATGAAACGCTCGAATGTTTTCTTTTTTAAGAACCGTATGCAAAGTATCCTGTTGCATCGAATTGTTATTTTTGCATACGTAAAAAAAAAAAAAAAAAAGACAATCGGAGAACCCCGCATTTTCGTTGCCAACGTTAAATAAATTCCGTAATATCGCGTTTCAAAAAAAAAAAAAAACAATAAAAGTTAAATGATACATTCTTATTCGCTATATATATAAAGATCAAATTTCTGATAAAAAATATCTTATCTTTCCGACAAATAAAAAAAATGTCGATGACCGTTCGCAATAGAGTTGCTTCGTATTTTATACTCGCTATTATACTCGCGAGTGAATCGTGCAACTTAAAAAAAAAAAAAAATGTCGATGATCCTTCATAAACAGATTACTTCTATTATTTTATCCACTTCGCTCGAAAAAGATACACCGATACTCCAATCCCACACTCGTCCACACTCGCGAAGAAGAGAAAGAAAATCGAGTCGAGAATTTTATGTTCAAGCGAAAATAATCCCTAAACCTCGTTCCCTCCTTCACGCACGCCGTGCGGCGGCGTATCATGGAATTAAGACGCGTTCCCAAAGCGATCCCGTTTGCACGGTACTCGACGCGATTGCATCGTGCGCGCACGATGTGGACACCGTATGCAAATGAAAACGAAAATGGAAGGCGTCTACGCACTTCCGGACAGATGTTAAGGCTCACGCGCATTGTCCTCCCCTTCCCCCTTCCCTATTACTCTCCTTCCTGCTTTCTTGCCCTCCCTACTCCCCCGATCTCTCACTCCTCCTCCTTCCTCATCTCCCTCCTCGTCCATTGTCCTTCGACCGCCCAGCCAAGCAAAGGAGAGAAGAGACCCGGCAATTGCCTCGATAATGTTACTCGAGCCTGGCCAATGTCACACTTGCACACATCCAATGGAACGCAATTTTCTCGCACGAAAGGAACCGTAGGCAGGCAACGACCCGGCCACGAAATTTATCATTTCAACGTAACAAATGGGATATTCGACGTGGAACGTGGCTATTTGCCATTAAACCGGTCGACTTGCACGATCAACCGAACTTCGCAAATGTTCAAACGCGACAATGTTAATATTTTGTGGCAACATTTGTCGACGCGCAGCTGTGGATGAAGAAGGAAGAAAGCGATAGGGAATGCGTTACAGAAGAGAATAATTCATTGTATCCGCACAAGTGTATACAATGTGTATACCAGGTTGATCCTGACCAGTTGGGTAGATATTTTTATTACGCCAATTGACTCGCCATGACGTCACTCGAGCCAGTCGAGTTCACCAAAGTGGTGAACGATGGGTGT